GATTTCTCGTAAAGGTGTTTGGCTGTGGACATTAAGCCTCTTTCCATTTATGTTAGCATAACAGCTTCCATCAGGCAAGGCATGGATGAATGTGGGAAGTTAATTTCTATGTCGGTTCCTTTCAGTCTGGTATAAGTTTAAGAGAAAGTAACTCCCTTAGCATGTGGACTTAAGACGATTTGTTTTACTACAACAGAATTTGATGGCATGTTTATATACGTTATATGTTTTTTTATATAATTGAAACAGTAGTTCCAGGGTCTTAGAGCCTTCTGTTTGCTTGGCATACTCTTCGAATCAGAAAATGGAGGCAGTGTGCTCCTTCGAAACTTCGGTGAACTTTGGCGTACTAGGCAACACCACATCTCAGAAGGTAGCACTTCCCGTATTCACTGCCTTAAGAACCTCGACACAACTCAAGATGAATGACGGGAAATATTATGTGTAGGCCTACAGTTGGAGCCGTTTGTAACTTATAAAATTGGACCCAACAGCTAATATATGCATTTATTCAGAATATATATATAAGCAACAAAAACAATCAAAACAAAAAAACAAACTCCGTGGCCTGTAGTCCGCAAGCGAACTATACCGACAAAGCGACCGCCGCTTGTCGGCGAAGTTAGTGTCAACTTTAGCCGATAGAGGGTGTCGCGTGGTCAGCGCAACGGATCCCCATGGCCGTTAATATCGGTTTTCTAGACCGGAGCCGCTACTTTTCCATTCAGGTAGCTCCTCGGTTATCCTCACGAGGCTGAGTGGACCCCGTTTCAGACTCATTACTTCTCATAAATTCTGGTAGGACCGGGAATCGAACCCTGGACTTCTGGATATGTAGCCGGGAACTCTGACCACTAGACCACAGAGGCCTAATATATATACAGTAGAACTTGGTTATAACGTCATCAATGGGACCTAAAAATAGTGTCGTTATAAACGAATGTCGTTGTAACCGAAATGGGCACTTCCACAGTAGCCTTATGTTAGTCACGTAAAAATCTACCAAAAACCGAGTTAAAATGTTGCATTTTTTAGTGAAATACGTAGTTAAGTACAGACTAACGTAACATTAACGTGGAATTGCCCAAATGTGTAATATCAAAGACATATTACAGCGCTTTTCACTGACAATACACACCGCACTAATACTGTATATTAAAGGTAGGCCTACTCACCAAATTACAGTAGATTACATCAATTGTTGTGCCTTACTGTACCTAGATACGAGTACAGTAATCAGTTATCTTCATCTGTTTCCTGTTACTTGCCCAATACACACTTTCTAAATTACGTTCAATGTCCATATCAGAGAAATTCAGGAATGAAAATGACGTTACATACGAGGTTGATGCATTTCTGCATGTCGTACTAAGCAAGGTATAAAAACAGTTGCTTTATGAGGAATTAGTTCGTACCATTGAATATTTGACGCAATAGACAAGGTGTCGCAGAAACCGATGTTGCTATAACCAAGTTTTACTGTATATATATATAACTTCTGACAAAATGCAGATATTAGCTGTTGGGTACACACACACACACACGTAAGGCTACATACGTATCATCATTACGGGGAAGGAATAGATCACAGTCTATTATCTGAGAGCCTTAATCTCAACTAAGTATCTGATCTCCAGCGTAAGCACTTCGAACCCCCGGTAATTAGACCTTACGCAACCCCTATTCCGCATAGAAGTCCAGCGTACAGTATAGAATTTATCTGTCTATGGCTCTAAAGCCCTTTTTGGGCCTTGGCCGTTTTTTTCAGTTTCTTGATCTTTTTACACAGTCGATAGGACTTTCTTGACGTGGGATCAGCCCGTCGCAAGGCCGCTGCGTGCACAGAGAACAGCATAAACAGAATAAGCGCACACAGACATCTATGCCAAAAGTGAGATTCGAACCGACGATCGCAGTGTTTGAGCAGGCGAAAACAGTTCATGCCCTAGACCGCGCGACCAGTGTGATGGACAGATATAAATTACATAGATGAAAATGCGAAAGAAAATAATTGTGTTAGCTGGTCTACGCGAAGGAACTGACGGTCTGTTTCCCTGCACCGGGGATTGTGCGTAGCGAAAGTATGAACTACTTGCAGACGCAACCAGCGAAGGTCGCATTGTTAACTTCTAGTATTCCGTTTCATTCCTCTGGTTACTGGGTCTCTGTGTAACTTCGTGTACGAGTTAACGCTCTAGAAACTTTTCTTGGCGGAGGTGTGTGCCATTAATGTTTGTCTGCACTATTTTTGACGTATCTTGGAATGTTTACGTCACATTCTAGAGGAGGGGCTGGCAACGCGTGACTGTGGTGTACCACGTTTTAATAGAATTAAGGACCGAACGTCTCTAACGAGTGAGAGGATTCGTGCTTCGCATTTTGGGGGTCCAGTGCACCAATCTCAGTCCAGACACGGACAGTAGGTTACATATAACCTGTTATAGTATCTGTTTACTCATCTGATATCCAGTAATTATTCGTGATTTGGCTGTGTCTTCAGCGATTGCTGAAATAGTATATTGAAATACGCCACAGCTGTCTCGTAAGTTTCTATTGATGAGCTTCCGGACATATAGAACGCTTTACGTATTAATACTGGAAGAAAATGTTGATGTCTGTTTTCCAGATGGGCTGGGCTCGATACCAGAATCTTCGATACGTTAGAAAAAAACGAAAGTAAAACTTGCAGCGAGTTTTGGGTTGTCATTCGGTAAGGTCCGGGTCAACAACACAGACGAACCACGAGGCCTCCTGGGGTGGCACACTTTACAAACCGTTTTTAGCGTAGGCTTATCATATCTTCTTGCTGTCTCTGTGTGTTTATCTCCCCTATTAACTTTTGAATGGCTGAACCAATATCTACGAAACTTGGTATGTGTATTATGGCACCTGAGCCCATCTCAGCCGCTTAATTCATAAATCCCCTCCATCAGTAATACTAACATTACAGCCGCTCCAATTTTCGGGACAAAACCGTAATACTCCTTGAATACTTGTACCAACCTTCACGAAACTCTATGTATATCATGCCACTTGAGCCCATCTCAACGGCGCACTTCATAAAACCCTTCTGTGAGTAATACCAACATTACAACCATTCAAAATGCTGAGGCAGAGCCTTAATAATGCTTGTACCAATCCTGATGAAACTTAGTAAGTTTATCGTGCCATATAAAGCCATCTTAGGCCGCGCCATAGCTCAAGCGGTTAGTCGCTGGCTTCCCATCGCTGCGGCCCGGGTTCGATTCCGGGGTCTGGTCAAGTGGGATTTGTGGTGGACAAAGTGGCGCTGGGGCCGGTTTTCTCCAAGTACTCCGGTTTCCTCTGACAATCTTCATTCCACCAATTGCTCCACAATCACCCTCACCTATCATCTGGGGCTGGTACAATAGGCCAGAAGTGGCCGCAATAGAAGGGACTTAGTCCCACCCTACTAGCAATAAAAAAATATCTTAACGGCTTACATCATAACTCCCTCCCATAAGTATTACCAACATTGCAGCCTCTCAGATTTCTGAGACAAAACCTTAATATTGCTTGAGCTCCTATACGAATCATCATGAAACTTGTTATGTGTCTGTCATGCTATCTGAGGCCATCTCAACGGCGTATTTCATAAATCATACCCATCAGTAATATTCAAACTCCAGTCTCCCAAATCATATTGTTTTATTGACTTAATTATGCATACATACTGAAGTGTTTTCTCCTTGTATCAGATACTCAGATTACAGTGCAAGGAAAGTAGGCGAATGGTTCTTCCAATAACTTCTTGTTGTTGATGTTTGTAGTGGATGCAGTGCTGGCCTAATTGTGGCGTGTTCATTTTCACCTTTCCTTTCAATTTCTTTCCTTATTCACATCTGTGCTAGCCGTATCAATTCCATAACGAAGTTGTAATGACTATAGAATTATTTAGCCATCAGAAAACAAGGATTTAGTACGGCCCGTAACAAAACCCACTCTTTGACTCTGAAGAAGGCCAGTCCGTTGCACTTCATCACAACCTATTTTCTTGAGATGAGTCTTACTCTAACGCACCCATCTCCTCAGCTTTTAAATAGCTTACCCTCAACACTTCTGAACGCACCTGAGCTTAGATGTTCAATCCGTATTGAGCTCCGTCATATCACTTCCCAACAATAGTGGGCTGCCTGTGTGATGGCAGAGTTCTCTGTTGTTTACAATTAAATTTATTTCAGTCCAATGTGACACCACATTAGCACTTAGTTACCCACTAACTAAGTGCTAATGTGGTGTCACATTGGACTGAAATAAACTTAATTGTAAACCTGTTAGTGTAACGGACCAGAATGAAACAAATTAAATTCTCTGTTGTGTAACATCAATTGGCCTCTTCCCGTTATTCCTCCTAGGTGCAGATATTTCCCCCAACAATTTACTTTCAGGTTCTTAATAATATGTCATGTGTAGGGGGTGTGCGTGACGTATAGACGGATTTTGGATTGGATGATTGGATTTATTGACACATTTTACATTCATGTCGGGACTGCAGGTGATACAGCGCTATCGCTGATCTACACACTTTACAGTTGACCGTTACACACGCACTGGAGTTCTCAGGCTTCACTAGTCGTACCCTCATGTATAACAGTCTCACTGTCACTGCAGCACACATGAAGCCTTTATTACGCCGTCTGATTCCTTCCTCGCAGTTTCTTCTGGATCACTTTCGACTGCCAACGCCTGAACTCCACTCAGTTGTAATTCCTCTGCTCCCAAGCTCATATCGTGGCAGGCTGGCCTCCCGAAACTCAACTGTCTTAAACGATCTTCTTTGTTCTTTTTATAGCTCCTCGTTACGGACCACACAGAAACATCAAGTAAAATTTTCTGTGAAAGAGATGGGGGAATGGAAAATTTGGAAGACCAGTAGCGGGTTGCAAGACGTAAAAGGTTAAGAGCTACCGCTTGAGAAACATGTTCATGATCTCTGTAAGTGGGCAGGACCTTAACATAGTACTCATCCATTTTTGCAGGTAACGCATCGAACAACCGGCCAGGTGATGGTTCTGAAAATGAACTTACTCCGATCCAACCGTCCAAACATGCTGAAGGAAGTGCAACTCATGAACCAGCTGTCTCACCCCAACATACTAGGGTAAGCATCTTGAATCTAACGAATGGACGCATCTGGTGTCTTTAATGTCGTGACATCTAGTTACTCGTCAGGTCTAATTGTAATGACTTGCCGAACTTTGTAAAAGTAGAGATGTATGCATTGCTAGATTGAAACCTTGACGCTAAATGTCATGTTTATGTAAGCTGGAAGTGCTAGACGCTTGCCGGAACCTTGCTCTGTCATTGCGTTTCACCCTTCACATGAGCGCGTTGGCTCTGTGCAGTGTGCATCCCTAAAACCTCTGAAGCCAACAAAGCAACGGGACTGTAAATGCTTCGTAGGAGCTTTTATTAACTATTGTCTGTCGTCCCACATGCCCACATGTAAAGAAGGAATTTTGAGGAAGTTTGACGTTTAAAGTCCGGTCTCTGATATGTTTAGGGCCTAAATGCATAATTTGTTTTTGTTTTATCTAAAGGAGTCTTTCATGTAGCACTGCGTCATTGCATATTAGTTGTGCTTTGTCCACATGTCCGTTGGTCCGTGCTTCCTTTTATCCATCCGTGGATGAATCCAGCGATATTTGTTGTTTAGAATCCTTAATATAAATTACTGATCAGATTCAATTTTTATGTAAACTGAACAGCATTTCCATCTGTTTTATAAAATAATGGAAACACTACATGTACTGTTCACATTTCTTTATTAATATGGTGTTGGACCACCTTTTGCCTTCAGTACAGCCGTAGTCTTTAAAATGGACTCGTACAAGTTTTGAACAGTGCATAGCGGAATTTTATACCATTTTTCTTGCAGAATATCGTCAGGTTGTTTTAGATATGTTGGAGATGGAAATCTGTCGCTTTCTTCAGTCTCCAGAAGTGACCAGAGCGGTTCAGTGATATTCGAATCTGGTGATTCTGCTGGCAATGGAAGATGATGTTCACCTTTATGCTCTTCTAACCTTAACTGAGCAGTTCCAGCTGTGTGAATGGGAGGAAAGTTTGTCTTGGAAAACCACATAGTTGTTCGGATATAACGTCTGGAACATGGGATGTACCTGATTACCCAACCTGTCCACATACTTCCTTGCAGTGATTCGCCCATGAAGGGTGATATTGGGACCAACAGAATACCACGATATTGCTGCCAAAACCATCACAGAAGCTCCTCTGTGTTTCACTGTTGGAACTAGGTATTCCGGATTGTGGCCTTCCTTGGGTGTTCTCCAAACGTAAACTCTTTCTGATATAGGGAATAGCGTGAAGGACGACTCATCTGACCATATCATGCGCGCGTTTCCAGTTGACTGATATCCAGGTTTTATGGTCGTGACGCCATCGTTTACGCATCGCAGCATTACTTTCAATAATCAGAGGTTTAGCAATTGCAGACCTACCGTGGCTTTTGGATTTATGAAGCTCACGTCGGACAGCTTTGTGCAAACAGGGTTTTCAAAATCAATATTCAGTTCTGCTGCAATAGTACTGTAATTTTTTGAACCAATTCTCCTCAGTGTACGACGATCTCTTTCTGTCAGTGTTGATTTTCGCCCCCTGTTTTTTCGCTGATGTTGACTTCCCACGATTCATGTAAGTCGACATAGACACAGAAACTGTCACTGTCGACACCTCATAATGTATCTGTTTCTTTAACAGATGCTCCAGCTAAACGCCCACCAACGACGTGTCCTCTTTCAAAATCGGGCAGTTGTACCATATTTCGATCCTGTCACGCGGACTGTCACTCAACACAATCACATATGCACTTACACCGAGTACTGCAGAGTGTAAACAAACGGAAGAAGCGCGTTCAGTGTTGCCAGCTGAAGTTCTTTCAATGTAGCCAACACAAATTATTTTCCCCCATTTCTTAGTGTTTCCATTATTTTGTCAACCCCCTGTATATTTATAAGCAAGAACTGAAGAGATAAAAAGCGAAATGACCTACATGTAGCCAACATGTTCTTCATAGATTTCTGTTTGGAGTTCCTTTTGATAGGCTCTCCGCAAGGTTGCGGACACGCCCCAAAACAAGTGAATCGAACTGCAGTGCACATCATAAATGGACGCCTTTCGTATGCATTCGAATGTTCACGAAGTCCATTTTAGAATTTGATATGCGTGATGTCTGAGATAGCACGGGTGGGAAAAGCCCCCTTAATTCGGTTGCCTAGGCAGCGTACAGACGTCATGTTGGACATTTCTAGTGGCACTGCAAGGTCTCATTTGTCTGTTCAGTTCTGTTTAAGTATGCCTAATATGACGAGCAATATTATCCATTACGTAAACTGGAAACAACGTTTTCTTCCCTTTCTATTATTATCTCTCTTAAGTATGCAATTCTTTTGTAACATTTGCCCTTGAATCTCACGCACTCTGTAACATCTGTTAATAAGCCTATAATCGTTCTTCCACTCACAAGGATTCTTCAGTAAAAGGGAAAGCTATCCTTGTAACAGGCCGTGGAGACTCATAGCGTTGTGAGCCGTCGAGGCTCCCACATTTTTATAGAGAATCGGCTCACAGATGGCGGGAAGGTTAAGGATTCTTCAGTAGTCATATTTATTTTGTACGAACCTGAAATTATAAAAAAATGGATGCTGAGGAAAGACGATGTGAGGATGTGGACTGGACTGGCTCAGGATGGGGTCCAGTTGTGAGTTTTTGTGAGCACGATAAAGATCCATGTAGTTCCGTAAAACTTGGAGAACTGGGCGACCGCCCGACAGTCCGTGAGCTTCTCGAGTAGGGCGGTGCTATGTAGAATTAGTTATCAGTATTATCAGAATGACGGATGCACGTAACTCTTCATTTCGGTCTGACAGTATCGCTGCTCGACGTTGAATTACTGAAGTTTCTTTTTCTTGTGTGTGTGGACGGATCTTTAGAAAATATTAAATTTTAGCGGGATGGTTTATTTTTAACTGATAAATGATACCACAGACCCACAGAATATTTTGACTTGAGTATTAATGAATTATTGAAACTTGGTACATCCAAAGCCGATAGGGCCTCATCGTTCGGAACGCTGAGTGCACCGCGCCAACAGCAGTCTTCCTGAAGTATTCGTACCTGCAAATGGGCGAGATTCAGCTCATTGTGGCCCTGGTGTACATAGTTCATGTTGATTTCCAGTCTCACGACCAACAGATTGTTCTAAATTTTAGCCTTTTTTCGACCATTCTGTTTACGTACGCTTCACTGAACTGAGCGAAATCAATTTTATACTATCATCAGAGTATTTGCAGTTTGTGGGTAATTGCATCCACATCCGACTGCCTGGAGATTATTGTACTGGTTCAGTAGATACGACCGTTAATCAAGAAACTGTTTCACTGGTGCTAAACTCGTTAGAGTTTTCATTTCTGCATTACTTACTTAATCCGTTCCTCATATACCTTACGTCGTCGAAGTTATTTTTTTCATTTCGATCATTTTACAGACGGTAGGACTCCTTGAACGGGGATCAGCCCGTCACAAGGCCTCTGCCTAAAGACAGGACAACACAAACAGAATAAACGCACGTACCAAACATCCATACCTTTGTGGGATTGGAACCCACGATCCCGGCTTCTGACCGCTCGGCAACCGTGACCGGCTTCCTTTCTTAATACGAAGCTTTAAGTCTGCTATTTGACCCCGTCCTGAGCTAGTTCTCACCTTAACGTACGTAGGATAAATATTAATACAAGAAGTGGCACGCGGTAGCGTAGTTGGGTAAGGCACTATGCTACAAGCCGGAAGATCGCGGGTTCGATTCCCGATGAGGTATTCGGATTTTTTTTTCAGTTTACCTAATCCTTAGAGCCCTGGGGTCGACTCAGCCACTGACAGAAATGAGTACCAGGAATCTTCCTGGGGGGTAAAGGGCGGCGGGCGCTTAAGGTTGATAACCTCACCGCTATCTGTGAGCTGTTTGTGTAGAAGATGTGGGAGCTTCGGCATCTCAGAACCCTATGAGCCTTCACGTCCTGTTACAAGGATAGCTGTACCTCTTTTATTAATACAATAAGCTCTGGGAAGAACTAGTTGCCAATTTTCTTTAGATGCGACACGGACCGCATGGGAGGCGGCGCGTCCAACAGTTCTTCCTTGTTTCGTGCATTCTTTGCCGCGGTAACGTTTTCGCCGAGCCGTTGCGTGGCGGCGATATGGGGATGCACATACAGACAGACGCACGGACTGATGGGAGGGATTTGTGAAGTGCACCTTTGAGATGGGCTCGGGTGCCATAGTGTGCATTGCGGGCTTCATGGGGAATACCTCGGGAGTTCAAAAGTTCACAGAGAGGATACACAGACACAGACGGAAATGGTGGTCTCATGGGCCTGCTTTTATGCTATCAAAATAGGAAAATGGGTTAACAAAATTCGCGTTTAATCAATGTCTCACACGCTCATGCAGTAAATTACGGACCTCGCTAAGATGTACGACTTTTGTATGGCATCAAAATGGAACACAGCGCTGTAGTGTATAAACCACTTCAGTTCTCTGCAGTTCTGACTTTCTGACAAGCCTTCCAAGCCACGGGCAATATCAGGCGTCAGGCCGAGAGGCTGCAGAGACAAACTGTGGTTACAGACGGTTCCCCACAACCAAACCGCAGACTCCTCTTGTACAGTTCGACATAGAAAAGCGAACCTAAAGCAATAATATTTTTGTTCGAGGAATTTCGAGCAAGCTGAGCCCCATTATGATTAAACGAGCGACTGCCGCAACACAATTTCTCTCCTGTAAGCCCATTGCAGGTTCCAGATCTGTCCATGAGAGCTCCTGGCGTTCTAGTCAAATACAGTCAAAGAAATAAACGGCAGTTTCAGAAAGCAACATATAAGCTGTCAATCTCGAACATGATGAGAATTACCTCTCCCTTTTCGAGATTGGCAGTTTGCTTTGAAGTAATCGTTCACGTACTTCAAGAAATGTAAAAAGGAAAAGAAAAGGTATCCCTGTAACAGGCCCTGAAGACCCATGAGGTTGTGAGACGTTGAGGTTCTCACATTTTCTGGACAGTCGGCTTGGAGATGGCGGTAAGGT